AGAGCAAAGCAGGGAGAAGAAAACCTTGCTGAGAATTGATTCTGTAAACATGGTTGCTTGCCTGGTCTAATTTTTCCATACTTGGGCACTAGAACTTATGAGCTAAAACACAATGCTGTCTAATATGCATGACAACTTAATTTGAGATTTTGAGAATATTTAACAATAATTTATGGGGAGCATGGTGCTTATTACATGTCATTAGAATTATGGCCTATCTTACACTGGCCCAACCAGGATACATAGTAAATTTTGACATCAATCTTCAGCTCCTCCTCATCAAAGATTTCAGTTAAACCTGAACCTGTTCTGGCTGAGTAAACAGTTTTGATCTGAATAGGACTTGTCTTCTTCCCCTCCTGCATCCTCCCTTGCTGTGTTGGATATCATCTTATTTTAGGCAACCACTTCTTTTTTTCTGAGCTCTTATTAGTGGCAGAATGTAATTGCTGTATTGCAGAATTTGACTGAGTCATCACAGATCTTGCTAATTTGTCATATAACACAAATATAAGTACAGTGTCCTTTAAAATTGATATCCAGAGAATAATTTCTTTCATTTAAATAGATTTTTCAAAACACTAGTACTGCAGGGCAGCAGGCGGTGTGGTGGTTAAGGTACTGGACTCCCCCATGGCTGACCATGGTTCGAGTGCCAGACCTGGCAGCTTGCTTTCACACTTTCCTTCTCTCTCTCTTACTTTCTGTCTCTTTCTGGTGAGTGCACATGACTCATACCAAATTAAAAATAATACTAAGAAGAAATAAAATTAAATAAATATTTCCTTTTAAAAATACTAGTAGTCCACATTTGCCGATCTCACAAATGTCTGCACAAAGTTCCAGGTCTTGGTCCTTGAGCCATTTCTCTATTCTATTAGCCTCTGGGTCTTCTTTATCCTGACAGCATCCTCCATGTACAAGGACCATAGCAGCCCTGTTAACAGACATTTCTTGGTAGGAGAAGTCACTTTTTGCCTGAAGACAGCACTGAGAGATTTCCCATGACACTTCTTAAGTAATAATATTAACATTTCTTCAACTCATAATTATTATCACTGATCCATGTTAAGATTGTATGAGATAGGTTTTAAAGACCATTAAACAAAAGGAATAATCTGTCATTTAATGAAACAATTACTCTCAACTCTTGATGACCAAAGTCAATGAAAAACATTAGTTAGGAAAACTAAATAAGGGATTTAGAATTCTCTTAAGTTTATCCACATCAGGGAGATACCAGATTGGCCCTTAGATGTCAAATAGGTATTTAGTAGGGGAAGTACAGATTTGGTGACTTGAGCTACTTAACTTGACTGGTACAAATTAGATTTTGTTTGTTTTTTCAAACCTACAGGGAACTTTAAGGGACCTGAATACCACTTGATATTGTAACATGTGCAAGACTACAATTGTGTTTTACAGGTGAGGTGCAACCAAGGAGATCCAGAACTTCACAAATATTTTTGAAGGAGGTCTGTTACCAAGAAGAAACTACTGTTTGAATTGTTCTGTGGCCAGTAAAACAGAGAAAGAATGAAGATCATGAAAAGCCATCCTGAAAGTACATGTGAGTTGAATAATAAGGTCAATATAATAGCTTATACACATAATAAAGGAAATCCACATTCTTACATAGGAACATACTATATATCTGGCATTTGCTCAATATCCCATTAACTCTTTTTTTTTTTTTTTGGAGAGGTTTTTCACTATAGGGCGCGTGCGCTCGCCAGACAGACAGAGAGAGACATAGAGACAGAAAGCGAGAAATCACTCCCCAGGGGGGATGGTCACACCACAATCCCTTCTCCTCCATTCTCCTCTTGGGATCTTGGGCACGCACACACACGCGCCCGGCTGAGTTTTAAGCCACCGGGTCTGGGACGCAAACCGCGGTTGACTATGTGGGAGTCCAGCAACATAGCCATTATGCTAACTGCTGGTTCCCCCATTAACTTTTTTTATTTTTAATTTTGCCATATGGAGCATGCACTTACCTGAGAGAAACAGAGAGAGAGAGAGAGAGAAAGTGAGAAACCACGCCCCCATCCTCTCCCTGCCAGGGGAGAGGGTCACACCACAGTGGCTTCTTCTGCACTCTCCTCTTGGGATTTCTGGTGCATGTGCACACATGTCCAGTGTGATTTTCAAGCCACAGGGTCCATGACATGAACTGTGGTCCACCATATGGGATACCAGTGCCTCAATCACCACATCACCTGCTGGCCCCAATATCCCATTAACCTTTACATTTTCAACCTATCAGATTTGAATTTTCACCAGGTCAGTTAAAAGTGACTCTTAGGTTCCATGGTAAAAAGATAAGCCTAGTGGTTTCTTGGTTCCCCCTCAGTCTCTCTATGACCTAGCAATGTACTAAAAGGTTTGAAAAAGTTAATCATTCAAAGCCTGAGTTTCTACATCTGTAAAATGGAGAGAACAATGAATAACCAGCTCCTATAGTTAAGAAGAGTAAATAAATATGTATAAGCGAAATTATGCTTAGCTTAGAATTTAGAACTTACAAGATTCACTAATAATATTAACTGCTGTTATTGTGAATGAACGAATTATGCTTTCCCTTCTGAGGTTTTCAGAAAGTAAAATGGTTATTTCTATAATCTGTCATTTACAAATCGACTGCATAGCCATTGCAATTTGGGTACTATTTGACCAGGTTTCTGACGACCTTGATAATCTGTCATAATTGAGAACACAAATAGCATTTTAGAGTTTCCGATTTGATCCAGATCTAATAGCAGTAACCAGACGATTATGTAAATTCCTAGTTTTTCTTGTGTCCAGTTGCTTTATTTTCTTTTCCTTTCAAAGAGAAAAAATATTAAAATCATTTTTTTACTCAATGACCATTAGTCATAGCAGATCCAATTAAATCTGTAATTTTAAGCTGTTAAAAAATATGTCATTCATTGGGCCAGCAAATGGCTTGGTGGTTAAGACACTGGACTCAGGGCCAGCAGTGGCATGGTTGTTGGGGGCGCTGGACTCTCACATGGCTGACTATGGTTCAAGTCCTGGACCTGGTGGCTTGCTTTCTCACTTTCCTCTCTCTCACTGTCCCTCTCTGGTCAAATAAAGTAAATAAATAAATAAAGCTGAATAAAATAAATTAAAAAAAAAAGACACTGGACTCTGCATGGCTCACTACAGTTCAAGTACCAGACCTGGTAGTTTGCTTTCTCACTTTCCCTCTCTTGATCTCTGTCTGCCTCTCTCTGGTGAGCGCATGTACAGTATAGTAAATTTAAAAATAATAATAATACAATTAAAATATATAAACTAATTCTAAGAAAAGTCATTCACAAGTAAAATTCACTAATAACATTAATGTTGCAACAGCCATTTAAGACTATATACTTTTAGATATTATAATATTTCTATATATTAAATAATACAGGGGGAATCTTAAGTAGCATTATTTTCTGTAAATATAAAGGTAGCACATATTATTGTCTAGCATTGAAGTCATTCGGCATCTACAAATTGTTCTGTAATCTTGTGATTGCAGGAAAACTTCTTCTAAAGCCAGAACCCTCGATGCTTATAGAACTAATACTAAGGGGAACCAGCAGTTAGCGTAATGGCTATGTCGCTGGACTCCCACGTAGTCGACTGCAGTTCGTG